GTACAGGCAAGGATAAATATGTTTTATTCACCCGTATTTTGACATATTTATTTGACCAAAGTTAATTAAAACATTAAAGCAGACACGTCACTTGTTTATTTTTATTTATTATTTTTATCATTATGTTTATAAATTCACTTTGATTAATTGTATTTTATAAAGACACTAAATGAAACGTCAGAGTTTTGGAGTCAGTAAAGTAAGTTTTTTTTTTTGTGAAAGAAATTGATACTTTATATATACTTTATACTGATATTAAAAAGGTATATATTTAATTCACCAAAAGTGACAGTAAAGAAGTTTCTAATGTTACAAAAAAAAAATTAAATTCAAAAAGTGCCAATATCTTACTGACCGCAAAACTCTGATGTTTCATTTAGTGTCTTCATAAAATACAATTTATCAAACCGATTTTATAGACATAATGATAAGAATATTAAATAAAAAAACATGTGAAGTGTCTGCTTTAATGTTTTCAATTAATTTTCAAAAAGGTTTTTTATTTTTATTTTTTCTATAAAAATGAAATAAAATCAGAAAATTAAATTGAGTATACTGCTTTTCATCACAATCTATTAAAAGTAGAAAAACTTTATTTTAAATAGTAATAACTTCTCAATTTTACTTTATTTTTTATTTACTTATTTACTTATTTATTTACTTTATTTTTTATTTATAGACAATAATAATAAAAAGCCTTTAGTGTACAGTTAAAGGCAAACTTATTCACCCTCCCATTCATTTTTATATTTTTTTTTCAAATATTTTCCAAATGATGTTTAACAGATTCAGGAATTTTCAGTTTTTCCTATAATATTTTTTCTTCTAGAGAAAGCCTGATTTGTTTTATTTCGGCTAGAATAAAAGCAGTTTATAATTAAAAAAAAAAACTTTTTAGGGTCAATATTATTAGCCCCTTAAGCTATGCTTTTCAGATTGTCTACAGAATAAACATCAGAGAATAATTTGCCTAATTACCCTAACTTGCCTAATTACCCGAGTTAAACCTTTAAATAATGTCACTTTAAGCTGAATAGTAGTATCTTGAAGAATATCGGTAACACTTTACAATAAGGTTCATTAGTAATACATTTACTAACATGAACAAATCATGAACAACACATGTACAGCATTTATTAATCATAATTGAACATTTACTAATGCATTATTAACATCCAAGTCCATGCTTGTTAACATTAGTTAATGCACCATGAGTTAACATGAACTAACAATGAACTACTGTATTTACATTAACTAACGTTTATTAACATGAATATATACTGTAGTAAATGTATTGTTCAATGTTTGTTCATGTTAGTAAATGCATTAATTAACATTTACAAATGAACCTTATTGTAAAGTGTGACCAGAATATCTAGTCAAATATTATTTACTGTCATCATGACAAAGATAAAATAAATCAGTTATTAGAAATGAGTTATTAAAACTATTATGTTTAGAAATGTGCTGAAAAAAAATCTTTTGTTAAACAGAAATTGGGGACAAAAATATACAGGGGACTAATAATTCAGAAGGGCTAATAATTCAGACTTCAACTGTATGATTTTACCAAAATTTATGCAACTTCAGTCTCAGCAAATTTCCAAAATTCGCTGGCCACCAACAGAGAAGTTAAAAAAGTACATTTTAGTCCCTGCAAAAATGTGTAAATACTGTATGTACGCGGGACTTTACAATATAAAGACGATGACACTTTTAAAGTCACACTCACTTACTTACATAATAAATCAGATGAATCATAAGACATTTGGTTTTGGAGTCAGTGAGGAGGAGGAGGAGGAAAGCGATTGTTTCCATGTGTATGGTCTTATTGTTAGTGCTTGTGGGTTTTTTGTAGCTGGTGCGAATGGGAACACGGCCACTAAATCCATCTGAAATGAGCAGCGTGTCCCTCAGCAAACCCCCAGAGAGCCGCCGACTGCTACCAGACACACACACGCACTTAACAGCGCTCATCGCAAACACATGACTGACGGACGCCTGCTATTCTCAAACTGAGCGAACATTTCAACCCAACGTCTGAGGCATGATGTTGATTAGCACGGGCTCATGCAGGGTTTCACCAAGCCAAGACTTTTTCAGACTATTTATTCAGTCATCTTCCTTCGGCTTAGTCCCTTATTTATCAGGGGTCGCCACAGTGGAGTGAACCGCCAACTATTCTAGCATATGTTTTACGCAGCGGATGCCCTTCTAGCTGCAACCCAGTATTGGGAAACACCCATACACACACACACACACACACTCATACACTACGGACAAATTAGTTCATCCAATTCACACACTCAAAAAAATGAATTATGGCTTTAGTTGGTCCAAAGAATGTAACTATGTTTAAATTAAACAATTCGCTTATGTTTGTGTATTAAAAATAAAAGCGTTGTGTTGGAAAAAAATAGAAAAAGTAAGTTTTCACATTTAAACAGCTCGCTTATGTAACATGAATGAAAGGGAGTTGTGTTGCTTCTGCAGTACTGCATTTTGGTCAATAGGTGGAGTAATATCTGCACATGCGCAGTTTCAAAACAACACAGGAAGTAAGAAGATTCAAACCACAACGATCACTCTCAGCTCGGCGCCATATTATGGGAATCAAAAGATGAAGATTACAGTACAAATTGAGAACGTGCACAAAGCTTTCCCCAATGTGGACACACAGGTGAGATTTTCTTTTACTTTTTATGTATTTATACTGAGGCTGTGACAACATGAATCATAAATCTACTCTCTTGTAATACTATGTTGTGTTTGTGTATAGTATTGCTATGAAATTGCCATGTTCCCTGTGTCTTTTCCACATTATAGACAGATAAATGTATAGTTTGTTTTGCATTCCTGTGAAATTTTATACTTGGTATATATTAACTCCCCCAAAATAAAGTTACAAACGTTGGTAGTAAGGAATAGTCATGTTAGAATAGTCTAAGCTTTTCACTCATCATAGCACACGTGCTGCTGATAATGTGACAATAAAAGTGATTAGATTTTTCATTTGATTTCATGGTCTTCATCTTAAATGAGTGTCAAGCAGTTTGTTGAGTTTGAATGCCAGTTTTGATAACTTACATAATATTAATTAAAATGTGGTGTTGGCACATTGTTATTTATTATCTAATTGTATTCAAGCCTGTTAACTTAAAAAAAAATATCTTGACAAGCATATGTGACACTTAAATAGGATGACATCTAGCATGATGACATATTTAATGTAAGCTTATTTGTTTGGTCATCTAACATGTTTAAATTTTTAAGTTTAGTAGTTTGCTATTTATATTATTATATTTTATTATTTTAAATCTTTGCTCACTCACATCTATTTTCTCCCTCACAGGTTTACAGCTCAACCTCTAAAGTCCCATATCTGGCTGAGGAGACTGTGGATCATCCAGGTACTATGCCTTTAGATGCCTATACACACATTAAAATGATGTACAGTAAAAATACTAGTAATTTTAACTACTAATTATTTAGTAAATTACTAATTGTCATTTCATGTTATTTAGAACATCACCAGTGGAAAAAAAGGTGTGAATGCATCCTCAAAGCCCCTAAGTGAGGGAGTACATGGTAAGCTGTTTTATTTTATTTTTTTAAACATTTTGTATTTTCCTCTTAAACCAATTACTCCTTTCACCTTTGATCTGTTGGTAAATGTTTTATTTTTTACCTGACTTTTTTAGGATGCTGGGCATGATGAAACGCAAACCTTGATGTGCAACACCACCTTATGAATCTACAGTAGTTATAGCAGACTCTTTGTCTAAAGTGACTTACAATTGAGAAGACATTCAGCAAATCAACAAGAAGAGGCGATACACCCAAGATGTGCTAATTATACAAAAAATTTTAAGAATTAAGATTGCTTCTACATGTGGTTTGTCAAGCCCACACACCTGTGTAAAGCAGACTTCATGCACAATGTTTTGTTTTTTAGATATAGGGAGTGGTTGTAAGAAAATGTCTGGTGCAAATGTGCATAAATGATGCAAGTGTCAGAGAGATAAATGTGTGTAGCTATTGCATGTTCTGTGATGGTTGGTCTAATTTATGGTGTAGTGCTTATCGTGTTACTTTGCTTTAAAATGTTAATCTTTCTTTGAACAACTGAAGTGTTATCTGCTTTTTCAGTGTAAAGAAGGTACAGCATAGTTTACAAAAGAAGACTTTTTTCTAAGTATATTTTTGATAAATCATTTGAAGGCAGAATATTATTTTTGAATGTTTTTTGTAATATATGAAAAGTATTATTTTGAAAAGTGTATTTTATGATGTTTTTGTAAGCATATTTTTAAAATCATATATTGTTTTCAATTTATTTCATACTTGTATTACTATTATTTTAATAGTATTAATATTTTAACTTATTGTAATAAGTGAAGATACAGATAAAGACAGTATTTGGATTTTGATAATTATTTTATTGCTGGAAAATGTGTAAATCTGTAAAAATGCTATTGAATAAACTCAATGAAACGGAAACTGTTTTTTTATTTGGTTAAACATAACAATATCAATTTTAGAATAATTGAACTTAAATAACTACATTGATTAAAGCTAAATTATAAATGTTACGTTGACTGAACTAAACAACATTACATTACCGTTATGTAACTAACTTAAGTTCACTAAAATTAATATTCTTTCTTAAAGGTAACTTAACTCGGTTACGTGGAACCAGTGGACAAAAAAAAGTTAATTAACGCCAACATATCATTTTTTTGAGTGCAGGAGGGCTAATAATTATGACTTCACAGTACACTTTCAATAGTAGACTAGCAGACTAGAGGTTATAAACACACAACTGCGCAGCTCGGAGTTGTGTTTGAGTGAAATAGAAAGGGACAGAATGCTCACCGCTCGCCTGCTAGGCTTCAATTGAAAGCGTGTTTACTGTAAACATGCATTTCTGCTTGTTTATATACACTGCCTGTGGTTTGCATGGCGCTCAAGTAAATGTGCATGTGTGTGTGTGTGTGTACCTGAGTCTGCTGTGGGATGTTCAGAAAGTTGTTGTCCCGTGATCCGATGCCGACAAACCTGTTGGAAGCTGTGGAGCCTGGCGCTGGGTATGCTGCTAATACACACACACGCACACACACACACACACACACACAATACATTGTTCAATACAAAACTCAATACTAAAGTGCGCCTGTATTGCTTTTAGGAGGTCTCCTACAATAGGTTGCACCCAAAAAACATTTACTTTCTCATAATATAGACTGTGGAATCAGCTCTTTAGTAGCTATGTTTCCATCCAAAGATGCAAATTAAATTTATGCGCATAACTGGAATATCGCATAAAAGACGTGCGATTAAAGCAGCGTTTCCATCCAAGTAGTCAAAGAGAACAAAATCGTCACTTCCTGATTTTCTGGTGCCAAAAATCAAAAGTAAAAACGAAATTTGATGTGAAACGAAAAGCTGCGTGAATCATTCCTTCCTTTAATAAATTCTAACACGCAATGAACGTGTGGGAATGTTTGAAGGCGTCAGACACAGAGCGCAGACACTTTTGACAGTTCTGGAGGTCATTAAATACAATAACACTAAAATAAGGCCCAATCACAATTCTATTTTTGAACCCCCAACTCTTCCCCTTCCTCTTGGCTCTTAAAATCGAGTGTGAAGGGGAAGGGCTTTAAAATTTTTCCCCTAAAGCCGCCTTTCCACTGCACACGACATTTGAACACGACTGTCGGAGTACGCCCCCTTGTGGCAGTCGCACAGAATTTTTCAGTTCTGACGTGCACCATGGGAGAGCTGTCCTCGCAGTGTCCGAAATAAAGGAGTGCAAGAGCCAATATTCTTTGTGCGTTCACCATGACTGAATGAATGAATGAATACTAGAAACTCATAAACAATATAAAAATATATATTTTTATTACTTTATTACATACATTTATAAATAGAAATGTTTTTTTTTATATAGACTTTTTCTAATAAAATAAAACTACTATTTCTCATCTTGCGCACAGGGACCTGCTTAGACAACACTGGAATACATCACATCCGGTCAGCCGGTCGCATATAGGGTATAGTCCAGGGTTCACCAAACTTGTTCCTGGAGGGCCTTTGTCCAGCAGATCTTAGCTCCAACCCTAATCAAACACACCTGAATAGCTAATCAAGGTCTTACTTGGTATAGGTATTGAAACATCCAAGCAGGTCGGTTGAAGCAAGTTGGAGCTAAACCCAGCAGGAACACTAGGACACTCCAGGACTGAGATTGGTGACCCCTGGTCTAGTCGCAGAAGTTCAAATATTTCAACAGATCCGCAGCTCAATTCGGAACCGAATTTTCCGCATATGGAGATGATCAGAACTCCACGCAGCTCCCGGACTACTCTACATTGGAAATTAATGACTTCCAGTCTGTCGCTTGTTGTGTGCAGTGGAAAGGAGGCTTAAGAATTGGGACAGCACTGCAGCACCTGCACATGTCATCATATGCCATCGCGATCTCTTGCTTCATATGAGATCAGACGATCGCGACTGCTGTAGTTATTCCAGTTGAATTATTTTTAGGAAATCACTAAAGGCATGTATTATGTTATCATAACGATCTAATGTGGCAATAAGATCGTAATACTGGGCATTTGCACAGTGTCCATATTCATCAATGTAAACACACCAAAAACAGCATTAACATTATAGCAGACACTGTAAAAAGCCCATTCCCAGCCACTAGACATTACTGACAGTGTCATCGAGTGTCAGAATGTTGTGGGACTGCTGTACAGGAGTTATGATTATGGATTATAGATCGCGAAATTTATCGATTTTTATTTTAGTGTTTTTTTTAAGCATGACGGTGACACACAAACGCAGTTATGAATATATTAAAACATGTGTTTGTTTATTATAAAAATTTGTAATAATGACAAAAAATACCTATTTGTGCATCTCCTTACTTCCGGGTGTAACTATCTGCCGTTGTGGCTGGTGTATTCTGGGAAACCTCTTGATTTCGAGTGTGGGCCTGAAAATCTTCATTCAAAGGGCTATTCACCCCTTTCCCTTAGCCCTAGCTTCAAGCTAAAGAGAATTGGGACAACACTACCCCTTGACGTGAACGCGCAAAACGAAGGGTAGGGGAAGGGTTAAAGGGGTAAAATTGGGATTGGACCTAATACTGAAACAATTACGGCATTTTAGAAAGACCAAATCAACATTTTAGATGTTTTACAATGTGCTCAGGCAGCTGGTTTGTCCATTCATGCACAGTTTTATCATCACATGATCTCTTCTAACAAAATAACATGACGTTTTTCTATGCGCACACTGGAATTTGTTCAGTAAAAGTGTTTCCATTGTAGTTTATGCGCATCGTTTACAAAGTTTATACCAAGTTTGGCGCATACATTTATTGATGCGCATTTTCAAAATATACGCGCATCTTGATGTTTCTATCAACAATTTTTTTATGCTCATATCCAAAATGGATAGGTGGATGGAAACGTAGCTAGTGTCTGAAATGGCAGGCTCAGCGAATCCTGTCTCTTCAAACTCCGCATCTTTGAGAGTCTGCTCTGATTGGTCAGATGGCAAAGCATCTATTAGCATATGTGAATTTTAGGTCACTGGGTTTGCATCTGCAACATTTTGAAGAATCGTGAGAGATATGTGTGATAAAAACACAAAAAGTATCTGTTTAAATTTCTCTGTAAAAATACTTTGTTATATCTAAAAAGTTTAATAAACAAATAAAAAAAAAGAAGGAAAACACAAAAATTATGAATAAACATTGAAAAATCTTGACATCGTAAAATTGTTAACGTGAACAATAGGAGACGGAAATGCATTTGCCAAATAAACAGTGACTTAGAGAATGTTACACCTATGTGATCATCAAGCTGTCTCTATTATGCTTGCATTGTTTGCTGTTGGTAGCTTTGTTAACAATACTATAGTCGGCCACTCTAACAACTTGACGGAAACGCATCTAATTCACATTTTTTTTTTTTTGCGAATTTAAAAAGATTCGCTTCACGTTAGGATGGAAACCCAGCTTCAGATACGTACAGTAATCAAAAAATCAAAAAATTGTCTTTCTTTAGAGGTGCGTGCAAGGTGGATTTGCATTCACAGTTTAGAAAACGGTGTATCCTTGATCATGTTGACAAAAAAGAATCAATCTCATTAAGACCTCAGCTACACACTACAGTTTATATTACAGCTACATTACATACTACACAAGTGGTAATATGCAAAAAAAAAAACCACATAATAAAAGCTCTCTAAATAACACTAAAATGTAAAATAAATGTAAAAAGGGAAGCGTGCACTAGTTGCAATTAATGGAATTGCAATCTGTTTGAGTGAACCAATAAATCCATTTTCAGTTACCATCGTCAGTTAGCAGTTCAAGCTTTATATATATTGTGAATATTTCAATTAAAGTGACTAATAGCATGTTCATTTAACAATAATTACAAATGCATAATTCTAGTTGAGTATTTTATGTTGTCGATTATTTTAGGAAACATGTAATGGACAGTTCAGGATAGTCCCTTCTGAAGGATTTGGCACTAAGAACCTGTAATCAAACATAAGCTAGTACATGAGCCAAAAAACTGCCATTAAGATGGATGGCAATGCTAATAGATAGACTTCTCTAGGTATCAGTTCTTGGACTAACGACGAACAGAGTGAGTGCTTGAATTATACGTCAATTTATTTTTGTAGTTGAATTTTGTGAAATACATAACAGTGATAAGTGCTATAACAGATTATTTAGAGTAAATTGAATATTTATAGTCATTTTTGTTCAATAAATGGCGGATTAGGATTAGCATGCGGTTTTGGATATATACGCACACCGGCCACTTTATTAGGTACACCTTACTAGTAGCGGGTTTGGACCCCCTTTTGCCTTCAGAACTGCCTTAATTCTTTGTGGCATAGATTCAACAAGGTACTGGAAATATTCCTCAGAGATTTATTATTGACATTATAGCTTCACGCAGTTGCTGCAGATTTGTCGGCTCCACATCCATGATGCGAATCTCCTTTTCCACCACATCCCAAAGGTGCTCTATTGGATTGAGTTCTGGTGACTGTGGAGGCCATTTGAGTACAGTGAACTCATTGTCATGTTTTAGAAACCAGTCTGAGATATTTTGTGCTTCATGACATGTTGTGTTATCCTGCTGGAAGTAACCATCAGAAGAACAATACTCAGGTGGGCTGTGACATTGTTACAATGCTCAGTTGGTACTAATGGGTCCAAAGTGTGCCAAGAAAATATCCCCCACATCATTACACCACCACCACCAGCCTGAACCATTGATACAAGGCAGGATGGATCTATGCTTTCATGTTGTTGATGCCAAATTCTGACCACACCATCTGAATGTCGCAGCAGAAATCGAGACTCATCAGACCAGGCAACGTTTTTCCAATCTTCTATTATGCAATTTTGATGAGCCTATGCAAATTGCAGCCTCAGTTTCCTGTTCTGAGCTGACAGGAGTGGCATCTGGTGTGGTCTTCTGCTGCTTTAGCCCATCCGCTTCAAGGTTGGATGTGTTGTGTGTTCAGAGATGCTCTTCTGCAGACCTCGGTTGTAGCAAGTGCTTATTTAAGCTTATTTAAGTTTCTTTTGCCTTTCTATCAGCTGGAACCAGTCTGGCCATTCTCCTCTGACCTCTGGCAATTTGCTCCCACAGAACTGCCGCTCACTGCATATTTTCTCTTTCCAGACCATTCTCTGTAAACCCTAGAGATGGTTATGCGTGAAAATCCCAGTAGATCAGCATTTTCTGAAATACTCAGACCAGCCCGTCAGGCACCAACAACCATGCCACATTCAAAGTCACTTAAATCAACTTTCTTCCCCGTTCTGATGCTCGGTTTGAACTGCAGCAGATTGTCTTGACTATGTCTACATGCCTAAATGCATTGAGTTGCTGCCATGTGATTGGCTGATTAGAAATGTGTGTTAACGAGCAGCTGTACAGGTGTACCTAATAAAGTGGCCAATGAGTGTATAGATTCACGTTCAAATGAAAATGTCAAAATTACTGTTTATCAACACACTGTAAAAATGCTGGCTTCCACACAATGGATTTGTGTTGAGCGTGGAGTTAACTTGTTAGTTTTTACAAATTTAAATGGACTGAACATAAAACAGTTAAGTTGTCCCCCCCCCAAAAAAAAATCAAGAATTGTGCTGGTTCAGCTTATTTTAAATAAGTAGCAAATGTAATTTGCATGTGTGTGTGTGTGGATGTGTAGAGTGTGATGGAGGATTTAAATGGGGAAAATATCATGTTTTAATTCTCTTTCACATTTAAATTTGACATTTAGAACAATTACATGGAGGGAAATGATGGAAAGGAGGGGGGGAGGTATTGCAAAATTTCAGATCAAATTTTAAGGCAGTTGCATGAAAGTTGGAGGGAGGATTTGAAGTGAATTAACTCAAACATATTGTTGGGAAAAACATCAAGATGTTAAGAATTCCAAAACAAAATAAATCTAAATGTCATATATCAAATTCAGGGCAGTTGTGCGGAGTGGACTCCATTAGATAAAAGGAATATATATATATATATGTGTGTGTGTGTGTGTGTGTGTGTGGGTGCACGTGTGTGAATGCTGTTTGTAAAAGCACCGAAAGATGAAAGTATAAAAGAAAAAAGGATGGGATACGACAGCTTGAGACCGTTACACCATTCCATAGAAATGAAATGAATGAATGGGAAAACACAGAAAGAAAAAGAGCACTCCTGTGTATGTGTGTGTGTGTGTGTGAGAAGGGGGAAAAAAAGAAGAAGGGATGGTCTTTTGGAAGGCCAGGCTCCTCCTTTTGCCCACCCGCCCTGCTGACAGCACCCGAAACACACACACATCCCAAGCAAAGACCCACAACCCAGTGCCGCCGCTCTCACACACCACAAAATCCCTTCACCTGCATGGCTACACAAACTTCTCCGTCGGCGGACGTCGCTGAATGTGGGCCACCGTTTTATTCTGTTTGTTTGTCTGTTTGTTTGTTTTGTTTGGAGTCCATGCCAGCTGCCCTGAATTTGATCTCTTGAAGGAGGAAGAAAAGGAGGAAAGGGAAAAATGAAAAGTGAGAGCGATGAGGAGGGAGGCTGATCTATGGGAATGATTGGCTGATTTGGATTTCTTCTTTTTTTTTTTTTTGCTTGGCATCAGCCAATGAGAGGCGGCGGAGTGTCTCCATCCCCATTCAATTGCAAAAGTGCGTGACTGATTGCAATCGGAGAAATAAAATGAGAAAGCAGGATGAAAAGGGGGAAAAAATGAACAAAGAAGAAATCAGATGGAGAAGAGCAGGGCATCTAAAGCCAGAAATGTCTTTTTTTTAACGCAAGTATGCAAATACAGACAGGAACGCTTGATTGGGTGTGCATTATTATTACACGTTAGGGACGACAGCTATAACAACAATTTTTATTTATTTGTTTTTAATTTTAAAAGAATAGAATAATCCACATTACGACTAAAACGATAACGGCACAGAGCAATGACAACATCAGGACGACTTTACGGATGATTTTGCTTCTATTTTTACATAATGAGTATTCAAAACATTGTCAGCCAATCAGAATTCATTCCGATTTTAACAGTGCTAAAATTTAAAGAAGCAGTTCACACTTTGAATAAAAGCAATGCTATTGTGCAGGGGTTTATTATATTATATTATATTATATTATATTATATCATACTATATTATATCATACTATATTATATTATATTATATTATATTATATTATATTATATTATATTATATTATATTATATTATATTATATTATATTATATTATATTATATCATACTAAATTATATTATATTATATTATATTATACTATATTATATTATATCATACTAAATTATATTATATTAAATCATATCATATTATATTATATCATACTAAATTATATTATATTATATTATTATATTATATCATACTAAATTATATTATATTATATTATATCATACTAAATTATATTATATTATATTATATTATATTATATTATATTATATTATATTATATTATATTATATTATATTATATTATGGCGGTTCATTGTTCTGTGGTAACTCCAGATTAAAAAAGGCACTAAGCCGAAAAGAATATGAATAAATGAATATTATATTATTGTTTTGGTGTGACCAGACCTTTATTGTGGCATAATTTTTTTTTGTACTCAAGGGGGTGCTAGATATATATTATTACATTGTATTTAGTGCTGGACAAAAATTAAATCGCGATCAATCGCATCCAAAATAAGTTTGTTTTGACATAATATATGTGTGTGTATGTGTACTGTGTAGATTTATTATGTATATACAAATACACACATGCATGCATTTATTTAAGAAAATGTTTATTTATATTTAGATATAAAATATATATGTGAATGCATATACAAAATGAAAAATATATATGAAAAAATCGTTTTGCATAATTTTGTTTCTATGTATGTGTGTGTATCACATATGCATAATAAATATATTATATTATAACAATAAATAATATGTTATCATCACAATTATATTTTATAAATTTATCATTTTGGTGTGAACAGAGCTTTATAGAGGCATTAAATTTTGGTACTCGAGGGGGCGCTAGAGATATTTATATTATATTATATATCGACAAACACTATTACACACTATTATAATATAACTAATATGTTATCGTTACAGTTATATTTAACTTTTTTGTTTGAACTGAAATTTATTGTGGCAATAAATTTTGGTACTCAAGAGGGCGCTAGAGATATTATATTATTTTAAATATCGATTAGTTATTTTTATAATTTTGCTGTGAACAGAGCTTTATTGTGGCATTAAATTTTGTTACTCAAGGGGGCGCTAGAAATATATATTATTGGTATACACAAATTTTTACTATAATAATATAACAGTAACTAATATGTTACCATTACAGTTATATATAGTTTTAGCATGAACTAACCTTTATTCTGGCATAACATTTTGGTAATCAAGAGTACGCTACAGATTATATTATATTATATTATATTATATTATATTATATTATATTATATTATATTATATTATATTATATATTGAAACACACTAATATATACTATTATAATATAACAATAATTAACATGTTATCATTATGTTATCATGCAACATTTTGTTGCTCAAGGGGGCGCTAGAGATATTATATCGATTTACTCTAATATACACTATTATAATATAACAATAACTATTATGTTATCGTAGTTATGTTTAACATTTTTGGTGTGAGCAGAGCTTTATTGTGGGATAAATTTTAATACTCAAGGGGGCGCTAGAGATATTATATAGATTTACTCTAATATACACTATAATACCATAACAATAAATATGTTATCGCATAGTTATATTTAACTTTTTTGTGTGAACAGACGTTTATTGTGGTATTAAATTCTGATACTCAAGGGGGCGCTAGATATATATTACATCAATTTACTCTAATATACACTATTATAATATAACAATAACTATTATGTTATCGTATAGTTATATTTAACGTTTTTGTGTGGACAGACGTTTATTGTGGTATTAAATTTTTGATACTCAAGGGGGCGCTAGAGATATTTATTATATTACATTATATCGATTACACTAACATACACTATTATAATATAACAATAACTATTATATTATTGTAGAGTTATGTTTAACGTTTTGGTGTGAACAGAGGTTTATTGTGGCATAAATTTTGATACTCAAAGGGGCGCTAGAGATATTATATTATTTTATATTATATTGATTGCCTCTAATATACACTATTATAATATAACAATAACTATTATATTATCGTATAGTTATATTTAATGTTTTTGTGTAAACATACATTTATTGTGGTATTAAATATGGTACTCAAGGGGGCGCTAGAGATATTTATTATATTGATATACACTAACATGCAGTTATATTTATCATTTTGATGTGAGCTTTATAGTGGAATAAAATGTTGTTACTCAAGGGGCGATCGAGATATTATATTATATCAATTTACATTAATATACACTATTTTAATATAACGATAACTAATATTATTGTATAATTATATTTATATAACGTTTTGGTGAGAACAGAAATTTATTGTGGCATAAAATTTTGGTACTCAAAATTTTCTAGAAATATTTATTATATTTTATTATTTTAAATTACACTAATTTACACTATTATGATAAAACGATAACTATAAAGTTATCGTATAGTTACATTTAACGTTTCGGTTCGAACAGACCTTTATTCTGGCATTAAATTTTGGTACTGAAGGGGGTGCTAGAGGTATTATATTATATTATATTATATTATATTATATTATATTATATTATATTATATTATATTATATTGATTTAGACTAATACACACTATTATAATATAAGAATAACCATTATATTATCGTTACAGTTATAGTTATCATTTTGGTGTGAACAGAGCTTTATTGTGGCATTAAATTTTAGCACTCAAGAGGGTGCTAGAGTTTTCAAGCATGTTTTATTTACACGGATATATCCTAGTAACTAGTATTGTCAACTATAATGCTTTTTAGTTCAACTAAAATTTCGAGTAAACGGACCTAACGCTTTAAGATACGATGACAAGAAAAACAACCCTGTCTGCATTGGCGTACTTGTGTAGTGTTTGTTTCATTCCTAATGTTCCCTCTGATGAATTACTGTGAGCGCAGCGGGGTTTTTTTTTAGGGCTCTGGTGGGTCTGGTGCTTGAGCGGACACTTACAGGGCGAGGCCGGAGAGCCCACTCCGCTCTCGGGGTGTGTGTGGCTGGGTTTGTGCTCGGGCAGGGAGAGGGGCATCGGCACCGGCCGCGCTACCGGAGGAGGAGGAGGTGGCAGTAAGAAGGAGCCGGGCAGTTTGTTCTGACCGCTCCCGTTAGGCTGCAGATACACACACACACACACACATACAGATGGTGAGGGGGTGAAAGAGGCACTCATACACACACGCGCACACACATGTACACACAGACAGAAATGTGGAGGCGTGCAATCACAAAGGGTGAACTTGGAACGTTACAAAATGTACAAAAAACATTCGAAAATTATTAAACATACACGCCGAGTTATTACAGTGTCATGAAGCATACAGTAATAGGAGCAATCTGGTTTTGAATGAAGAAAAAAAAAGCAGCCCAGTTGCATTTATTTAGCTTTTCTTAACTCTGCCTTTATATTCTAATCATTTATGTGTGTGTTTGAATAAAAAAGGAGATTTTGCAAATGATCTCCTACATTAAATGCTTATAGTTAGAAAATGTGCACAAAATTAAGATTTTTTTATTAATGCATACATTAAGAGCTATTGAATAATGTAGATTGAGCACAAAGGAACATCAAAATGCCAGGTTTAATGATGTGAAATTATATTTATGATATATATATAAATATATATTTATATATTGTGTTGCACTCTCAGCTCACATCATTCAAAAGAAAAGGTCCACATTGTCCCCCGATAATGTGAACAGACTGCACTGTTTTAGCAACTGGCTGAATGTAAAGGAGGACTAAGCAAAATTGTTTCTACTTTATAATTAATGTTCTCAACTCAATTTAACTTTATAATGAGTACAATTGTTTGTAATTATTATTGTTATTATAATTTAACATTTTCCATATCTGCAATGCCTGTATTTTGGCATTTTTTGCAGTCCACTTAGAATCCAACTTGAAAATCCTTTTTTTCTTTATTGGCATACTATTATAATATAACAATAACTATGATGTTATCGTATAGTTATATTTAACGTTTTTGTGAAAAAATACATTTATTGTGGTATTTAATATGGTACTCAAGGGGGCGCTAGAGATATTTATTATATTGATATACACTAACATGCAGTTATATTTATCATTTTGGTGTGATTTTGGTGTGAGCTTTATAGTGGAATAAAATGTTGTTACTCAAGGGGCGATAGAGATATTATATTATATCAATTTACATTAATTTACACTATTTTAATATAATGATAACCAATATTATTGTATAATTGTATTTAACGTTTTGGTGTGAACAGAAATTTATTGTGGCATAAAATGTTGGTACTCAAGGCGTTTCTAAAAATATTTATTATATTTTATTATTTTAAATTACACTAATATACACTATTACAATATAACGATAACTATTATTTTATCCTATAGTTACATTTAACGTTTTGGTTCGAACAGACCTTTATTCTGGCATTACATTTTGGTACTGAAGGGGGCGCTAGAGATATTATATTATATTATATTATATTATATTATATTATATTATATTATATTATATTATATTATATTATATTATATTATATATCATATTATATTCCACGTTAAAAAATAATGACAACCTGGACATCCCTATTATAATATATTATGATTTATGTCTTCTACAGTATGTTTTTGTGTGAGGAATAGGTTGAAAATTACCTTTAACCTGTATTTCATAACAAATGTACAAAATACACTAAAAATAATCATTTATTCATGATATTTCCCTTCCACATTTTAGCTGATTTTCGTTTTAAAGCCATCTCTGTCAGGATGAATCCTCCCTCTTAAACCCGGAAAGAAGCCAAATATGTTTCATGACACTTTCTAAGGAATGAGGGATGAACCTGAACTCAAAACAACAGAGACAACGAAGACTGACCAGTGTTAGAAGATGGAGAAGAAGAGACAGAGAGAGAGGAGAGAGAGACTTTAGCAGAGATGTGTGTGTGTGTGTGTGTGTGTGTGTGTGTGTGTGTGTGTGTGTGTGTGTGTGTGTGTGTGTATGTGTGTGTGTGTGTGTGTGTGGTGTGTGTGGTGTGTGTGTGTGTGTGTGTGTGTGTGTGTGTTTCTGAGTGTGCATGTACTGTATGTGCAACTCTGTGTCTGTGTTCATGTGTGTGTGCATTGAGTGTGTGTGCTGTGCATCTGAGAGTGTATGTGGGTGAGTCTGTGTGTCATTATGTCTGGCATCTGAGTGTGAATCTCTGTGTGTGTATGTGTGTGCATGCATACGTATGTGTGTGCATCTGAGTGTGTGTGTGTGTGTGTGTGTGTGTGTGTGTGTGTGTGTGTGTGTGTGTGTGTGCGCGTACATCTGAGTATGTGTATGTCTGTGCATCTACGAGTATGTGTGTGCATGTGTGTAAAAGTGTGTGTGTGTGTTTATGTATCAGTATGTGTGTGTGTGTATCGGCGTGTAAGACTGTGTGTGCATCTGAGTGTGTGTATGTGTGCATCTGAGTGTGTATGTTGGTGCAGTCTGTGTGTCATTATGTTTATGTGTTCATGTGTGTAAAAGTGTGTGTGTGTGTTTGTGTATCAGTATGTGTGTGTGTACACCTGAGTGTAAGACTGTGAGGGCATGTGTGTGTTTGTATGTCAGTATGTCTGTGCATCTGTGTGTGTGTGTGTGTGTGTGTGTGTGTGTATGTGCATCTGAATGATTGTGTGTGTATGTATGTGTGTGTCAGTATCTGTGTGCATCTGAGTGTGTGCGTGTGTCCATGTGCATGTGTGTGTGTGTGTTACCTGTGCCCCCGGCTGCCCTGAGCCGTCAGCACAGACGAACTGGACGAACTCTTTGAGCGGGTCCTGATGGTGGTGGTAGCGGATGGTGGGGTGGGTGAAGTATGGACTGGACTGCTGGATGATGGAGGGAGCGGGGAAATGAAGAGCAGAGGCAGAGGCTCGTGGACTCCCTGAAGAAAACACAGAGAAACGGTGTGTGAGATACTCAGACATATAAATTTAGACCCTTAGATCCATCTGCTAGTGATGCTTTATGCTTAAGGTAATAGTTTAAAGGTGCTGTATGTAAGTTTGTGACTCTTCTAAAGTGTAAAAACACCAGAATATGTTAGCTGATATTTAAGAAACATGCTGAGTGAACATTCTTGTTTATCTAAAAAACAATGCTGAAGTCAGATATTCTGCTTAGAAAACGTGTGTGTTACGTGCCAGAACGACTCTTTGTTTTGGTTCTTTGTAACCCACCCACTGCCCGTTTAGCCTATTATATTTCAGCACCCCGAGTTGCCTTGGTGGAAAACAGTGCATTTCATTCATTCAGTCAGGAAGGCTCTCAAAGTGTTTGTCCGTGACTGAAATGTGACCTCTGGTGGACAGTAGCAGACTCCCAAATGAAACGTAGATACAGATTTCCACATGAGGTGGTTATTAATTAGCAAATAATAAAAATACTATGAACACAAACATTAGGTGAGCAGGTTACATTGTAACCCCGTGGCCTATTAAGGCGATACATGATGAGATTTGCAGTGATAAGCATTCTGGCTGTTTGCACCAGACGAAACGTGACAGAAATTTTGACTCTTGACTAATAAAAAGCATTGAATTTGCTCATTTTAGACTTTTAAAATGGCATTTTGAACGGAAATGAGCAGCTTGGACATTTTGATAAACATCAGCCTAAAACATTATTGTGCTTTATTAAACATTTTCTTTTATTTCATTCTGTTTATTCTGTCCTCATTTATTAGAACAGCTTTTTGTCGAATCATCTGATAAAAAAATGACGTGTGGTTTAAAATAGAAACATTTTGTATCACTTTACTGTAAATATATTTACTTTCACAGATTTGAGTCAAATAGTTAAAAAAACTTATAAAATAGAATTTTTTTGCAACACTTTAATGTAAATATATTTAATTTCACATTTAATAAACTTTCGACTAACAAATGCATTGAATTTGCTTATTTTTACACCTTCACACCAGCATTTTGAATGGGAAAAAAGGGCAGCTTGGACATTCTGATAAACATCAGCCTAAAATGTTATTGTGCTCTATTAAACATTTTCTTTTATTTAATTCTGTTTATTCTGTCTTCATTTATTAGAACAGATTTTTGTCAAATCAGCTGATAAATAAATAATAATAAAAAACATTTAAAATAGAAACTTTTTGTGACACTTTCCTGTAAATGTATTTACTTTCACATTTAATCCCTTTAATAAACTCTTGACTAACAAAAAGCATCGAATTTTCTCATTTTTACACCTTCACACCAGCTTTTCGAATGGAAAATAGCAGCTTGGACATTCTAATAACCATCTCTTTTGATGTTCCACAGAAAAACAAGGTCATGCATATTTATATAAGCAAAAAAAAAAAAACTTATGTTATTGTGCTTTATTATTATTGTTTATTATTTCTGTGAAAAAACATTGCTTAATTATTTCTGTTTATTCTGTCTTCGTTAGAACAGATTTTTGTCAAATCATTTGATAAATAAATAGCTAAAAAACATTTAAATTAGAAACTTCTTGTAACAATTTACTGTAAATGTATTTACTTTCACATTTAATCCATTTGTTAAACTCTTGACTAACAGCAAGCATTGAATTTGCTCATTTTTTACAGCTTCACACCCGGACATTGAATGGAAAAGAGCAGCCTAAAATGCTAATCTGCCTTATGAAATATTGTCTTTTATAATTAATGGTAAAAACATTTATTAAAATATTCATTTATTAAAGCAGATTTGAGTCAAATCATCTGATAAATAAATAATAAAAAACATTAAAGATAGAAACATTTTTGTAACACTTTACTGCAAATGTATTTACTTTCACATTTAATCCATTTAATAAACTCTTGACTAACAAAAAGCATTGAATTTGCTCATTTCACACCTTCACACCAGTATTTTAAATGGAAAAGAGCAGCTTGGACATTCTAATAACCATCTCTTTTGATGATCCACATAAAAAAACAAGGTCATGCATATTTAAATAATCAAAAAAATTATGTTATTATGCTTTATATTTTTTTAATTATTACTGGTAAAAACAGTTGCTTAATTATGTTTACTCTGTCTTCATTTATTACAACAGATTTTTGTCAAATCATTTGATAAATAAATAGCTAAAAACATTTTATATAAATTTTTATAACACCTTAGTGTAGATGTATTTACTTTCACATATAATCCATTTCATAAACTCTTGACTAACAACAAGCATTGAATTTTTTCTCATTTCACTCCTTCACACCAGCATTTTAAATGGAAAAGACCAGCCTGGACATTCTAATAATCATCTCTTTTGATAATGCACTTAAAAAACAAGGTCATGCATATTTAAATAAGCAAAAAAATTATGTTATTATGCTTTATAGTTTTTTAATTATTACTGGTAAAAACAGTTGCTTAATTATGTTTACTCTGTCTTCATTTATTACAACAGATTTTTGTCAAATCATTTGATAAATAAATAGCTAAAAACATTTAATATAAATTTTTATAACACCTTAGTGTAGATGTATTTACTTTCACATATAATCCATTTCATAAACTCTTGAATAACAACAAGCATTGAATTTGCTCATTTCACTCCTTCACACCAGCATTTTAAATGGAAAAGAGCAGCTTGGACATTCTAATAACCATCTCCTTTGATGATCCACATAAAAAACAAGGTCATGCATATTTATATAAGCAAAAAACCCCTGAACAAATGTTCATATTTAGCAGAACTGCTTCTTTACATGCCATTTCCACCATCCTCCTTTTCTCCTCTTCATCTATCTCACGCTGTCCTTCTTTTTCATCTATCTCTAACTCCCCCTTTTTTTTTCTTTTTGGTGCTTCTTAATCTCATTAGGTACTGGGCAGGAGCCAGGCGTTATAGGGTGCCAACAAACACACACACATGCACACACACACGCACACACACACACAAACAAAAAAACGGTATCTTCTCAATCTCCACAAGAGTTATTCATCACTCACAAAAGAAAAACCACAGTATCTCTTTCCCAACAGCGGCCAACATCCATCCATAACTCACACACGCGCATTAGAAACGCAAACCTCGCTTCTTTTTCCTCCTCCACTGTCTCGACTCTACATAAACACGCTAACCAGAAGCGTCTGCCGCAGAAAATAAACAAAACTTCCAGAATCACATGCAGGAATAATCCATTTAAAGCCGCCGCTCTCGGTCCCGCTGACCTTTTACTGCAGCCGGACGCGGACGGAGGCTAATTCTGTGCTTCTCACAGGGCCGTCGGATGGGATTAAACATCCGGGACGACAGGGAAACACAACAGGGAGCTTTTTTGGATGGCTCTCCTTTGGGTGGGAATGGAGACGGCCTGCGAGACCGCAGTCTTAAAGCCTCAGAATATCATGGTAAACTGATGGGATTTTCATGGTGTTTCTGAATGCGTCTGCCAAGAAGAGCTGGATAAGGGCATCGTCAGCACGGAATTTCAGACATATGGATTCAAGGCCTGGAAAGTATTTCAAAACTAACATACACAAGTTCAAGTCAAAATGATTCGCCATCCTTTGAATTTTCCAAATATTTCCAACATGATGTTTAACAGAGCAAGGAAATTTGCGTAGTATTTCAGACAATATTTTTTCTTCTGGAGAAAGTCTTATTTGCTTTATTTTAGCTAGAATAAAAGCAGTTTTAAATTTTTTAAAAGGTCATTTTTATTAGCCCGCTTCTGCAGTATTATTTGTGGATTTTGTCCTGTGCCAGTTTGAATGACGCTGGCCAGTTTTGGAAAAGGAGAGAGCGAATGGTAGAGCTTTTATATAGGATTCTCTTGGTCACGCATCTGTTACGCGTTGGGGAAGCTTTATAAATGTTCCCTCATGGCTTCTTCTGTTTGCGTCTTCTCCTCGCCTTTTTCAGAAGGTCTCGGGTGATCCATAAGGAAATGAGAAGGTTTGAATTGAGGATAATTCGAGGGTATCGAGAAGCGAACACTGTTGTTGGGACTTGGGTCTATTCTTAGATGTCCAAATTTAGCCATGCTTTAGCTAAGCTGTCTATGTTTAGACCTATAAGACGTCTATTAAACACAACATTGTTTGGTGGGCAGCTTTACATGTGTCTGTAAGTGTTTTTTTTCTACACTGCAAAAGCCTGCACATTAAACAACTGCTTACAGAACATAAATCAATTAAAATTACATTAAAAATGACGATTATCTTCAAGTTTCAAACTGTATAACTGCACAAAACTCATTATTAGTGACACATAATGTACTAATATACATCACATACATACACTAATATGCATGAAATACATATACTAACATATAATACACATATACTATTATACATAATAAAAATACAAAATACAATATACTAATATACATAATAGAAATATACTAGTAAAATGGCCTAATATGCATACACTAATTTACATAATAAAATATACTAATATACATATACTAATATACAAAATAAAAATATCCTAATATACAGAACACAAAATAGTATATATACAATACATATAATGAAATGCAAAATAAAAATCC